GCTCTTGCTCAGGTTGGTTTCAAACTCCTGAGCTCAAACAATCCGCCCGCCTCGGCCTCCCAGAGTGCTAAGATTACAGGCGTGAGCCACCGCGCCCGGCCTAATTACTTATTTTTTAAAGGCTGGTCCAGTGAAGCAGTGGGAGTGGAGAAGGAACAAAGGAATCTGTAACTGGTTGTAATCAATTAGTTGCAAACACCACTGCACTAGAACCAGGTGAAAAATGTGTCTTTAAAAAGTATACTCTCAGAATGTTAGGCGAATAAATACTTGTAGCTAGAGATAAAATTTCCAACTATAACAGCAGATTAGTACTTTAACAATTTCTCTCAGATCCTTAGGCAGAGGTGAAGGTGATATACTCAGTAAAGCTGTGTCATTGACTCAAAAGTGACTCTAGTGACAATGCAGGCACTGGTATCAAGGATGCATATGAGAATGAAAAAGAGTAAGAGTATTTCTAAATTAGGATATTGTAATAGGTATTATATTACTTTTAGTGTGTATGTGAAAATAAAGTATTACAAATAATATAAAAAGTATATTGCATATTAATATACTAAGTTAGTTAAAATTGACTCTTACTATGTAAACATTATTAAAACATTGACTGCCACACTAGAAAACAAAATTTTTTTCCTTGGGGCCACCGTGTTCTATTATGAAAATAGAATAAAACTTTGAAAACAAAATGATCCTTTCCAATTTAATGAAAATTTAATGAAAAACGAAATTTATTTACTTCTATTCGTTTAATACACATTTTTAGAATTAATTTGTCGATATTAATTTTAACAATAAGAATATCAACATGTAAGATTTTCACAAACCAACTGCAGGGTTTTGTCCAGGTTTTGCCTCACAAGGCCATGGGCTCAAAACTAGCTTGAGTTAAATACATCTCGTGTGGCAGTTAATGTGTTAAATATTCTAGTTGGATAACAATTAGTTCTTATTTCTGAAAGTGACCTTAATAGAACGGGGAAAAAAAGAATATGCCAACCAGAATGTATCAAAATAAATATTTATTGACATTTGAAGCTTTATGTACACCACAAAAACAAATGTGCAAATGTGGGAATTACAAAAATCAACTTAAAACCCTTTTCCCCAACCAAGCATTTCCCCACTGAACATTCAAGATCAGTGGTACCACCACCATCAGAAGAAAAATAAGTCCGTCTGGATGTATACAGTAATTATTATAAATGTCATGCAGACATTTTCCGTTATGCTTCCAACTCCAAAAAATACTATGACAAATATACCCAGAGAATTGTGTTTCCATCTTACCCTAACTTATGAGTAGCGGTATACAAATATATTTCCATCTTTTTGTCCAGCCAGCAAATGAGAATCTGTACCTGACCATTTCACGAAAGACCAATTTTGGTCAGGAACAGGTGGAAGGAGAGCAGTGCAATGACCAAGAAGTAAGTCCCAAATGGCAACTGCTCCAGAAGTCAAGACTGCTGCTGCACGATCATCTTTTACGTCACCTTCCAGGAACCTGATATCAAACAGAGAAGAAACAATTCAGATCACATATCCAAAAAATAATTGTTCCCCCCCTACGACAGAAATCTGATTTTTTTTAATAAGCCAAAACCATGTTTCCCTAAGGATTAACAGAAACAAAAATCCCTGTAATTATGAATGGCTACATTTGCAATCTCCTAGAGGACTATTGGCTAGTGTGTTACAGTTCTGGACAGAATTGCGTGTCCAGTCCTTGCCTATCTCTCTGATGCATCTTGTACCGTTGAAGGCTAGCTCGCAGTGGCCTTCCTTCCATTCTTCACAGGAGCCAAACTCACTCTCACCTCAGTGTCTTTGCTCTTGCTATTCTCTCTCCCTGGCAGGCTCTAACTGCAGATCTTAGCATGGCAGGGTCCTTTTCATCACTCAGGCCCATCACCTTCACAGAAAGGTCACATCTAATCCACTATCTGAAGTAGTGCACACAAATACTGTATTCTGTTCCCTTCTCTATGACATTATCTGTTTTTATCTTCATGGCACTTTTCACTATGTGAGATTATCCTATTTCTGTATTTGGTGGGTCTCTCCCCTATAAAAATATAACACGATGAAGCAGAAACCTAGTTGTCTTCTTAAGACAGGGGCTCTGCAGTCAGCTTCCTGGGTTTACATTTTAACTCTACAATGTAAGAGCTGCGCAGCCCTAGGCAAGTTATTTAACTTCATCAGTAAAACAGGGCGGATGATGACAGCACCTACTTCACAGGACTGTTGTGAGGCTAAATGAAATTGTCCATTCAAAAAAAGCTTAGCGTAGTACCTGGCACACAGGAAGTGCTCAATAGAAATTAACTATTATTATTTAATATTACTCTCTGCTGTATCACTGGCACTTTGCAGAGTGCCTGGTGTACGGTCAGCTCTCAAAGAATGTTGAATGAACTGAACAATATTTTTATTCCTGGCACCCAACTTTGTGCACCTAACTCCTTAGGAGGTGGGGCCTTTGGGAGATGATTAGGTCACAAGGGCAGAATCTGCAAATGGGATTAGTGCCCTTACAAAAGAGGCCCCAGAGAGCTGCCTTGCCCCTGCTATACTGTGAGGGCACAGCTACAAGTTCCATCTATGAACCAGGAAATGAGTCCTCACCAGACACCAAATCTGCCAGCACCTTGATATTGGACTTCCCAGCCTGTAAAGCTGTGAGAAGTAAACCTTGGTTGTTTATAAACTATCCAGTCTACAGTATTTTGTAGCAGCCTGAATGGACTAAGACATCTTCCTACAGGAATGGCACCAAATAGGCTTGCAAGGTTTGCTGAATAAATGCATTTGAAAAGTGACAATGAAAATGCTTGACCAAGTAGTTATCTTTATCTTCAATTTCTAGCCCAATGACTACAGTTCTCTCTCCATATCCAAGAAAGCAAGTTCTATATGCAAGTACATACTGCAGATGATAGTTCTGAGGTTCTTGTTAAGAACATCTGCAGAAGCGTCACAGCTGGCCACATGCACAAGGATAGAGAATGTCTTTTAGAACGTGTATTAATCAAGTAAGCTTTGTACAAGATCCAAAGAAACATGCACTGTAACTATCGAGGTCCCTTATCCTTATGAGATATTAAAGCCAGACTTTGTGATCTTGATTTCTGAGTCTATTTTCAATCTTTGCTTCTAATTTTAAACATCATGGTGGTGCGTGACTATAGTCCCAGCTATTTAGGAGGCTGAGCCAGGAGGATCGCTTGAGCCCAGGAGTTTGGGGCTGCAGTAAGCTATGATGATGCCACTGCACTCTAACCAGGGTGACAGAGCAAGACTCTGCCTCATTAAAAAAAAAAAAAAAAAAAAAAAAAAAAAAAAGGCAGTCTTTTGGAATTACACATTTAGATGTTGCTTGGTTGACCTAACAATATCAGCACTACTTCAAAACTCTGTACAGCTCAGAAAACTCTTGGGATGCCAATAACTGTGTCAGTGGCATCAGTCGATAGATAAATAAATATGTATCAATAAATACATATCAACTGCCTGCATGATGGAGGCACAGTCAGATTTCAAAGTGAAGATGTCTTCCCAAAGTACATTTAAAACTTCTTGAGTTTTACTTTAGAAAGAATGTAGCTTATAAGTTTTTTGAGGTGAACATTCATTACTCTGTCTGTATTTAAAACGTTTTCCTAATGGGAAAATAACAGGGCTTGAATCCACATAAAAAAAACCTATCTGATCCCATTTCAATCAGGATGTAGGGAATCTGGGGTTTCGTTCACACCCACTAAACTTCATTCTACTTCTTAACATTTTTTGTGCCCTGTAGTGTTTCCTGTTTTCCATTCATCTAAGTGACACAAAAGTATCTAGTTTTTGTATTTGCACAATGCCTTTCAAGATGTCACACCCACTGAATAGCAGTCACCCACACACTTGCCTTCCAGCCTGCCCTGGAGGAAGACAGTACAGCATCACACCCACATTCAGGGTCGTTTTAGGATTAATCACAATCAGCTGAAACACAGGACTTCCCAACGACTCACTCTCTTTGGCACAAGGATGACTCAGAATAACAAATAGGAGCCCCTAATTTAGGAGAAAAATTAATAATTAAATAGACAGTCAAGAGTATGTTGGGAAAAAGAAAGGGTTGGCAGAGACAAAACCAAAGAATCACAGGAAAGATCAATAGGTTCTTAAGTATCCAGGATTTAGTCATTGGCTTCATTGTTGTTGTTTTTGTTTTTGTTTTCAGGCAGGGTGAGATTCTAACCAGCTGGGCTTCTGGCTTTTCTAGCATAAGGCTCCCAACGTTTTTCTCAGCCAATTTTGTCAGGCATGAATCTAGCTGACTCATCAATTTCCTTCACCTTAGATACCTTAGATACTACTATATTTCATGCCATTCATTTGGGGAAAATTTGGCATAGAAAAAGAGGACATATTAACACATGCAGGGGGTCTTTAAATTAGAAATATTCATTTGTAAGCCAGTTTTGGAAAATTCAGAACACATTTTCCCATAAAAACAATCTTGTTTCTGCTCATGAAGAATTCTAGAAAAAAAACATGGTAAAAAAATAAAATTAAAAAAAAACGGAAAAAAAAACCCCAAAAAACAAAAAACAATCTTGTAAGTGGTGACTGGATTCTTAGGCTAGCTACGATAGCCTATTTAAAACCCAGACACTGCTACTCTCTACTAAGAGTAAGGGTGAAAAAAAAAAGATACCATGTCTGTAGTTGCTTCTGTGGGAAAATGTGTTAAAGATATCTCTCAGCTTTAAAATTACAGGCTCTAATAATAATATTAGTGTATGTGTGTGTGGTGTGTCTATGTATGCATACATGCATACATATGTATATATATGTTATACATTGAGAATATTTCTCTTTGGATGTAAGATGGGGAAATTAAACTATACGGCCATTTTATAATTAGTAGCATTCATTTTCTACTTCATACATATCTAAAATAATTGAATTTATCAATGAAAATGAATTACTTTTGTGTTCAGAGAACAACTGAGAATTTTAAAATGTTAAATGCTATACACTTAACAAGGGGTTAACAAACTATGGCCCATACAGCAAATCCAGCCCAACACTTATTTCTGTATGGTCCATGAGCTGAGAATGTTTTTCACATTTTGAAATGGTTGGAAAAAAATCAGAACAACACCATTTTGTAGCGTGAAAATTATATGAAATTCAAGTTTTAGTATCCATAAAGTTTTATTAGAACACAGCCACATGCATTGTTTACATACTGTCTGTGGCTGATTTTGCACAAAAGCAGCAGAGTATATGAAACCATATGGGCAACAGAGCTACAAACATTTGCTATCCAGTCCTTTATGGAAAAAGTTAACCGATCCCTGCACTAAACAATCGTGCAATAAATAATAAACTATTATTTCTGAAGGATAGCTTTATGGGGGAGTTTTATTTACTATTTTACACATTTCTGTGTTCAATGTTTTAATATCAAATACATATCAATGTTGTAATATAAAAGATATGAAATTATTTAAATGCATAATAGATAAATTTAAGAGACAAATTCAACCCTTTAAATAATCCTTATTTAAAGGATGAAAAAAGTTAGGTTCAAAATTATATGACAGATTATCTAAGACGGCACAGCTTCTGAGTTCAATCCCACAGTTCCTGCTAGGCTAGGGCAAGATGCACTCTTTGCATTCAGAGTCTCTGGGTGCCTGATTGTCTCAAGGTTATCACTGATACTAGGCAAGTCAGTCTCTATACAAGTGCTGAGCCTGCTGCTTCTGCCTCTGCTTGTGGCTTCAATGGTGGATACTCAAGTAGTTTCTCAGTCCTGGACAACTTCCTTCAACCTGTTCAGATGTCAAAACTAGACGGTAAGCCAAGACTATTAGCACAATGGTTACGTACCTGTTTTGTTTCTATGTGAGAACACTAAAGCTTAAGAGAAAAACATGTCTAGGACCATTTAGTCCTCTCTAGGGATACTCATACACATCCTAAATCATTTATGGCCATGTGGCTAGGAACCAAGTCTGATAATAATAATAGCCATAATATTTCTCAGTACAAATTCACAGCTAGAAATAAATGCTTGCCTTCAAGTCATACAGCCAGAAAATTTCCCAAGCAATTATAATACATTGTGCCGACACTTATTTGCATCCATAAATTTCAAGAAAGAACAAACATTGCTATCCAATTTTGAAAAAATAGGCAACAGGGAGGGTCTGTTAATTACTATTTACAACTTAGTGCTCTCACTTAGTGAGACCAATAGTGTTAATAACACCCACAGTAACACAAAGTGGTCCCAGCCAATAATTACTTACCATTTCTGAATAGGCTTTGTGACAGACTGAAGCTTGGTAAGAATCATCAATGTGCATCTTTTTCAGGAGTTGACCAGTTTTTAAATTCCTTAGATACCAAAAATAAATAGGCCAATCACATTCTTCTAGCAAACTGGTTTTCACATAATATTCTCTTAGCCATCACAGCATCTTTTAGGAGGTGAACAAGGGAACACTAAGGGACACACTACCTTAGTTTTGTTTAGTCACAGATTAAGCTAAAAGTAGCTCTATAGGGTAACTCTGCCAATAGTTTAATTTGATAGTTTAGCCTTAGGTTGAATCTGCTATGCCACTAGGGATAAGTCTCTCTAAATTCCATGAGAAAAGTTTTCCATTATCTCATTAAACTAGTACAACCTCTGTGGAAAGTAGTATGGAGATACTTCAAAGAGCTAAAAGTAGAACTACCATTTGATCCAGCAATCCCATTACTGGGCATCTACCCAAAGGAAGATCTGCACTCGAATGTTTATAGCAGCACAATTCACAATTGCAAAGATGTGGAAACAACCCAAGTGCCCATCAATACATGAGTGGATTAATAAAATGTGGTATATGTATACCATGAAGTTCTACTCAGCCACAAAAAACAATGGTGATCTAGCACCTCTTGTATTATCCTGGATAGAGCTGGAGCCCATTCTACTAAGTGAAGTATCACAAGAATGGAAAAATAAGCACCACATGTACTCACCATCAAATTGGTACTAACTGATCAACACTTATGTGCACATATAGGAATAACATTCATCGGGTGTCAGGCAGGTGGGAGGGAGGAGAAGGGGATGAGTATATTCACACCTAACGGGTGCTGTGCCCACAATCTGGGGGATGGACACACTTGAAGCTGACTCAGGCGGGGCAAAGGCAATATATGTAACCTAAACATTTGTACCCCCATAATACGCTGAAATAAAAAAAAAGAAAGGAGGTGGTAGGAGACTTCTCAACTTGATTTCCATCTCACAAATTTGTTAATTTGGTTCCTATTATCATATTTTTTTTTTTGTATATCTAGTAACTTTGGACTATATCTTAGATACAGCAATATGTTGCAAAAACTGTGGATTCTGTTAGGTTCCTCTGAAGAATATTCATTTTGTTTGTTTGTTCTAGTAAACAGTTAACTTGGCTGAACTTAAACTCCAAATGCTGAAATCCCAGTTTAGTTCTTTCAGTCTTACCTGGGCTGCTTGGAGTCTGCCCTTGCATATGTAGTTTAAACAGCCAGATATTTAAACAAAGCTTATACCCAGAATTTAGGTTTCCTTCTTTGGCTCTCTATTTGGGACTTTTCTCCTTCACTTTCTAGTTGCTGCCATTACCCTGAACTCTGTCCTTGGTTCTCTAAGCCAGTAGGACAGAAGGTCTTCTATTAGGCTTTTAGTCACCCAGCAGGCAGACCATGGCCTGCCTTCCGGCTTAAAGTCATAAGAATGGGAAACTTGCCTAGTGCCATTTCCTTCTTCTAACTGTAGAAACCCCTCCAGTATCTTTCTTCTTTTTCTTGCTCTCTGGTGCCTTCAGATAGTTGTTTTTCATATTTTGTCCAGAGCTGATAGTTATTTGAAGGAAGAGAGTGGGTCTGATAGAAGCTACTCAGCTACTAACCAGAAGCAAAAACTGGACCATTTTGACAAAAATAGTTCATTCATTTTAAAATACTCTACTTAGATTGATCTTTTTCACAATGGCTGAATTAATATGATGTTCTTGGTAAGATAAGTATATAGCATCTGACAGTAAAAAAACAAGACACAATCATATTTACATATACTCTCTTATCTACTCTTCACGACACCACTGTAAAATTAGAGGTATATCCTCATACTACAAAGGAGGAAACCAAGGACCTACAGGGAAAGCTTACCAAATAACAATGTTGTTCATGACAGTAGTACCAAGCAGAGCTTCCTGCAGCCCTTGGACCTCAGCAAAAGTTAGTACAGTTTCTTCGGGGGGCATCAAAAACTGTTTTTCTTTGTTTCTGCATTTAAAACAATATTAAAAATCAGTACTTTATACCAAAGCAGTTTCTAAGCAGCCCTTCTACACATTAATGAACTATGCATAACAAAAACTAACCTAATACTGGGAAAAAAAATTTAAACCAGAAAACGTGTATTCTAAACTTTCTACAATGAACATATGTTACTTTTCTATTATCTACTTGGATATGACATTATTCTTGTTTCCTTCCTCTCGATCTTCTCGACCAAGTCCTAGTGATTTTATCATCTCATCTCTCACAAAGCTGGCCGCTTCTTGTCATCTCCCCTAACATATTTCTAATTTAAACAATTATCTGTCTCTTGCCTAGATTACCACAATAGGTCACGACTAAATAAGACAATGTCCCTGCCCTCTGTCATTAGGAAAGACAGATAAATAATAATGAAGTGTAACAAGTATATGACAGGATGCTATCAGTTCAGTTTTCAACAGGTTGAATTTGAGGTGTCTACAAGGTGTCTAATAAATACACATTCAGGTCTAGAGCTGAAGAAGAGCTCACAGCTAGAAATGTATGTTTGCAAGTAGTCAGCATCTGGATGGTCACTGAAGCAATGGACACCAAGTGTGTGGAATGAGGAAAGGATCTATGAACTTGAGGTACTTCTAATATTTAAGAAACGCAGAGATTTCAAAGAAGACTACAGAAAAAACAAACTACATTTGCTGAGCCTCTCCACTCCATTAACTTCCTCCCTGCCATGTCTGGCTTCCACCTCTCTAACCAGCATCTACGTTACAACCTTGTGTTGAAGCCATGCCTGCTGTATTACACCTATAGTGCAGAAAAACCATATCCTAATAATCCAACTTTCTCTGAAACCTGGATAAAATCATTCTTTATCCAATAGTTGACAGCAACCAATGCTTTTCTTACCCTCCATCTTCTGCAAATGTCATGATTTCCACTTGTTGATCACAAAGGGTCCCACTGCTATTCACTAGCCTCCTCTTTGTTAGGCCAAGCACAGCTTTTATATTTCCAGATTTCAGTAGCACCTGCTTTTCACTTCCATCATCAGGGGAACAAAATAATGCCCTAAATCAAATATAAGGAAAAATGAGGAGAAGTTAGGAATAAGCCTTTAATATTAAAGGACTGGGTTAGATTTTAAATGGAAACTTGATTTAAAAAAACAAGTCTCTCTTTAGACCTAAATTCATATTCTTTTAAGTCTCAAACTTAGGTTATAACGTGCACTCAAAACAAACTGATGGAGACAAAGATAAAGGGGGAAAAAATCCCTCCTTGGGAATTACATACCTGAGTTCTCTGATTTCCAAATTTCCCAAAGCTACACACACAAGATTACAAACATCAGGCACTGGAACTATTTGTAATACTGGAACCTAAATAAAACAAAGCAGCCAAAAATTATACTTGGTTGTTTCATTTTTAATTAATTTAAAATATGGCAATAAAC